ACCAGATCTCCAAGAAGTTCTCAAGGGTGTGCTATATCAGGAAAATTAAATACAGACACACGGAAAGAAGAGTTCAAAAACTAAGAAAGCGGCCAGCTTAATCATAAGGTCAAGTCTGGAGGTGAATATTATATCCCAGAATTTAATAGGAAAAAATGGAACCAGAACAGAAGATAAAGTACATGAGACTGATAGGTTCATGCACCAACCATTTGAACAGAATCCTAACCTGTTTCCTGGCTTTAAGAAAAGTTCCTTAGCATTTCTATAATTTAAGTTCAAACTGGTTTTCTTAATAGTACCATATGAACTTACCATTGAAAGTAGTTAGATTATTTAAGAAATTGTGTGATCAATACAATGTGGGTGGAAAAGGAATAGAAGACAATTGTAGACACCAGAGACAGTGGGAGAAGAGGGTGGGAAAGGACAGAGGGTCAGAAAGAGGGGCAGAAAATTTTGGATAATAATATGCATGATTAAGTCATGCCTAAAGTTAGACTTTTGTTCATGGAAATGTATATATCAGCTGTGTTTGCTATGAAAATATTTAGATTAATTAAGATCTTTAGTAATTCAATAAAAATGGGGGAAACAGTATAGAAAGTAAACGTAGATATCAGAGACAATGTGGGAAGAGAGTGGGAGATGGCAGAGGGTAAGAGATAGGGAATCAAGGGTGGGGGAAAAATCAAAACATACAGGAAGTAAGAAATGGAAAATTATTTGGTGACAATAACATGTATGTTGATGTGCTTGATTGAGACAATATACAGTGTACTCTGGATGGAAAATCTCATTTTGTACGCTGTAATGATGTACAGTGAATGAATGTAAACAAATAAATTTAAATTTAAAAAAAAAGATTTTAAAAGATAAACATTTTCTTTTTCTTTTGAGAGATTTCTGCTATAGGATGCACATGCCAGAGAGACAGAGAAAGAGAGACAGAAAGCAAGAAAGCAACCCGCAGTGGGGACAGCCCTCCTCCATTCTCTTCTCAGGGTCTTGGGCATGCACTCACACATGTTCCATGTGAGTTTTAAGCCACCAGGTCCAGGACTAGAACCATAATCAACTATGTGAGAGTCCAGCAATATTACCATTACACCATCTGCTGGTCCCCAAAAAACTAATTATTTTGAAGTAAATATTAACGGCTTAAAGGCATATATGAAAAGAGGATAGAAACCTACGTTTGAAGTGTGAACTCAATTTTTAGGATGTAGATTTTATAAATTCAATTTAAGTACTTCATTTTTTTAAAAGAATTATTTTATTGAACTTACTTTATTTATTTATTTATTTTATTTGATCAGAGAATGAGGGGGGGGCAGGGGGAGTGAGAAAGAAAGTCGCAGGTCCAGGACTCAAACCCCAGTCGGCCATGTGGGAGTCCAGCACCCTTAACCACCATACCACCTGGAGCCCCAAGTATTTTATTTTCTATGTTAGGAAGAAAATACGCCAAATAGTAATCAATAATTATCTTAAAATCAGAGGAAACTTTCATTCTTTCCTTTTTGCATTTTGCTGCATTTCCGTAAGACACTCATGAGTGAGGGGCGTGGTAGGAAATAGAAGTATACTATTGAAAGAGCCATTCACATATTGGAATTAGCCCCCAGGCCAGCCCCACTGACATGATGCTCCCTCCACACCGGGGTCACATGGGAAGGCCCCAAGTTCACATCCTGCTTGCTGCGCAAGCTTGCCCGTGACCCTGGCTGGCAGGGGATAGCACCTTGTGGACTCTTGCTGCGTGCGTGCCTGTCTGTCCACTTCTCCGTCATGGAAAATAAATGAACCTTAAAAAATAAATAAATAAAAGAGAGAGAGAAAACGGTGTCTCCTCCACCCCCCAAAGCAGCAGAGCCTGCGCCTATAGAGCTGCGCGGGGCACAATGCCGCGGGGCATAGCGATGGTGCACCTTTGCATGCAAACCCTCTGGACCAGGTCAGAGGATCCAGGCACCCAGAGAGGAGGCTCTACCATCTCCTGAGGCAAAAAAATCACTTTGGGACACGGCAGAATCTTACAATGCTCACTTCTACTTTTTCTTTTCTTAAGAGAGCATTTTGCTATAGAGTATGTGTGCTTGTCAAACAGAAAGAAATCTGCCCCCAGGGGACATGGCCACACTGCAATACCTTCTCCTCCAATCTCTTGGAATTTTGAGCACACACACAAGTGCCTGCGTGAGTTTGAAGCCCCTGGGTCCAGGACTCGACTGGGTCGACTACGTGGGAGTCCAGCAATGTAACCATTACGCCATCTGCTGGCCCCAAAAATTCATCTCTATTAAGGGGAGGGACAGATAGGGGAACATCTTCCAGCTTTATTTTAATCCTGAGAATATATTTACTTCACATAAGAAGCCTCTGTCCTAAGTTATTGGCAGGGCCAGAAAAGAAAATGTTTTGGTAGCGAACTGAGATCAAACAAGACAAATTAAATGATAACTTGTTCTTGAAATCTACATGAAACTAGTTCATACCTGAAGTCCTCAGACCAATGATTAGATGCATTTTCATGACCGGTTAGTGCAGTACGCGTAAAACAACTACGGTTACCTCCTCCTTCTCGTGCAGCATAATGTGCGCTTTGAGGCTCGCCACTCTGGAGAACTTCTTGTTACACACCGGGCAGGTGGGCTCTTCCCCGCTGTGGGTGCATTTATGCAGGGTCAGGTTGAATTCAACATTGAATGTTTGGGGACACTGGTCACATCGGTGTGGCTATTTAGAAAAGCAAAGAAGCTACTGAAATACAATCTTTCCACAGATGCTTGTAAATACACACTTCTAAAACATTAAAGTACCGCAGCCTGCAGACACTCTT